GTTGTTGTCCCAGCGTCCGGCAGACAGTCTGGGTTCTTCTTTCAGGTGAGACGTGAACACTGATGTCATCTGTGTATTTTGGTGTTGTCTGGGCCCCGTGGCTCGATGGGGATGGGTGGAGGCACTGGGTGGAGGGCGATCGGGGCTCAAGAGTTGGCAGTTCGTCTTGTAATCGGAAGGTTGCCGGTTCAATCCCCAGCTCTCTGTCTTGGTCGTTGTGTCCTTGGGCAAGACACTTCACCTGCCGCTTACTGGTGTTGGCCAGAGGGGCCGATGGCGCGATACGGCAGCCTCGCTTCTGTCAGTCTGCCCCAGGGCAGCTGTGGCTACACCTGTAGCTGCCTCCACCAGTGTGTGAGAGTGACTGAACAGTGCATTGTAAAGCGCTTTGAGGGTCTCGAAAAGCGCTATATAAATGCAATCCATTATTATTATTATTATTATTATTATTATTATTACTGCGTCAGTTTTGGAAGCACGTTGTTGTTCCGATGAGTCCAGGTTGGTCGTCGATGCTCACAGAGTGAGCTGAACCTGCTGCGTTTGCTTAAAGGCTGCCAGCTGATGCTCATCAGCGTAACTCCCACACACACAGTTACATCCAGATCATGTGATGTGCTGCCACAGCCTGTACCTGCTCTCACGCGTCCTCCAGCGAGGACGAGATGAAGCTGCTGTTGGATCAGCAGGTGCAGAGCAGCTGATCTGAGATCAGAGTCCACATGAATGAAAATGAGATGTAATGATGCTCTTACTGATCTGCTGTCTCCTCACAGTTTATCAGGCTGGCTGAAAATCACATGTGTGGCTCAGACTGCTGTGAAAGATGGTGTTCCACAGAGGAGGAGGTGGAGGAGGTGGAGAATGCAGAACACACATCAGTGAAGGACGGAGCCCGAGTCGTGGGCGAGAGGCTGTGCTGGGGTCAGTTCTGTGCAGCGTCCTCATCAAATCAAATCAAACGTATTTCTTCTGATGAATGTCAGCTAACATCAGCTGACCTGTTACCATGGATACGTCTGCTATGGATCTGTGAGCTGATAACTCGCTCCTTTCATCTGTGACACCAGCGCAGTCTCCACTCTCGCTCCACTCTCAGGAACCGGCTGCTGTTTTTGGGAAGTCTTCGTTAGAACTGGGACAAAACAACGTGAGGAAAAACCGAACGAGGCTTCAGTCTGCTCCGTCACCTTCATCTCCACCACACTGACCCCACCTCCTTTGTGGAGATGACGGGCGGACTGAGCGCTCGCAGTGATGGCTGCTCTCCTCCGAGCAGTCTGCGTGACACGTTCACACTCAGCACGGAGGCAGATCTGTGATCGCTGACTCATTACATCTCATAATTACCACTGAAAGCTTTGTGAGTGCACTCTGTGAACAGCTGGACTGGAAAGGCATGATGTCATCACGCTGATGGAGGGCAGCGTCTGCTCGAAGGACGCTTCAGTCTGCGCTGAGCGTTCAGCTCCTCCTCCATCTGCTGACCTCACATATCTGTGAGTGGTAAAGGTTAAAGGTTAGAGTCACACACCTGAGCGGTGTGCTCCAGCAGCATCAGCCTGTAATGTGACTGCTTTAAAAACCCTCTTTACACCACAGCTCAGTGAGAACAGCCCAATAAAGAGCCAGGAAAAGGTCAGGTGATCCGAAAGTGTTCATATAATATTCTATAAGAAATAAATGCACGTTATTTATTGACGCGTTTCACAGGAAGAAACTGAAAATGTTTCAGCAGCTAAAAGTGATTACAGCCACCTCACGATCCAGCAGCAGGAAGTGGCAGTGATGCTTCAGTGTGATGTCATCAGTCTGTCACATGACTCTGCTGCACTCTCCTTCACAGCGTTGCCTCAGCTCTTTGTGCTTTGCAGCATTCGTTATGCACGGCTCTCTGAGCTCCGCTTCATGCATGCTGCTGTGCTCGGGTTCTTTGTCCGGTGATTGGTCGACAGACGGCAGAATACTCTGACTGGATCATCGTCCCTCCTCCGCCGGGCTGACGGCTGTATGAGCTGTTCGGTCTCGTCTGTTCCAGAAGTCTTTGTTTAGCTGCACCTTTGCAGAGCTGAGCTCCCGTGTGAAGAGCACTTCCAAACAGCCATACTTGTTCAGTCTGTGCTGAACTTTGACCTTTAACCTGCTAACTGAGGCCTGTAGAGTTTGAGGTGGAGACGAGATGGTGAATCTGCAGGGATGTAAACTCCTGGGAGGATTGTAGCATCATGCTAACATCCCTGAATGCTGCAGACCTGCAGACAGAAGTCCTGCTGCAACAGAGGTCCTCACACTGCTGCTGGTCATTCATCGGTGCATTAACAGCAGCTGGCTGATGTTAACCTGAGTGGAAGCAGTAAGGATGGCCTTTATCTTTCACATTATGGGGATTATTACTGAAGCAGGAGTACAAACATCCAGTTTGTCCTGGTTCAGAATGAGGAAAAAGTCCTTCCAGAAATTCACACATCCGGATCATGAATGTGGAAACATTTCCTGCGAGTGGTGTTTGGTCCCAGCTTGCTTCAGGCTCTGTTCCTTGTTTAAAGTGTGGATCAGCGCATGAGTCCAGGACATGACTGGATTGCACATGAGTTTCCAGCCTTGCGTCGTCTCTCAGCCTCCGCCTGCTCATTAGGACAGGGTGTGAAGGGCAGCGGTAATCACAGGATGAATTTAACGAGGCAGCAGCTTTTTGTCTGCGTGCACAGAGGACCTGCTGCCTGTGGGCGGCTTTTCTGTTAATGAGAAGAACAGATGAATCTGAACCTCGAGGCAGGATTAGTATTTTCCTTTCCACCCGATCTCAGCAGGAAGATCACATGACCGGGTCTCTGCGTCTCTGCCAACCATTTTCATAAAAGTTCTGTTTGTTTTGTCCCACGAGGGGAGACGATGTCTGTCCGTCACAGATAACCGAGACAAATCCAGAGATGTGCAGGAAGCTTCTTTGAAGATAATCAGTGTGCCAGCGCCAGACGTCTTATCAGAAACTATCTCTGGTCCACCAGCCGTGGACAGTCTAATGAAAGATGGTATCAGACTTCATCCACAGGCAGCTCCACCTCCTCCACCCATCGCTCATCATTTCCTCTGTTATTAAAGCTCAGGCTGAAACAGTCACAGCACAGAAAGAACAAAGAAAAAATACTTTTGTTTTAGCTGTTTTTGAGTCTTTTGGAGCTTTGAAAATGAAAAGTAGATGTTGGATGGTTGGTATGGCAACTCTTCTGAGCGCACGTTAAAAAAAATGGGCAAATATCCCAGAATGCATTTAGTCCAAAACTCAAACGAGGTAGTGGCGGAGTTTGATATATTACTCTATTTGCCTGGATTTAGCTACAGCGGCTAGCGAGCTGATTGGAGACCAAAACAGCCAATCAGAATTTTTGCATCCGAGTCTGTTTTGTGGCACAAATATAACGCTGTACAGAAAAAGTTGAACACGCAGGAGCAGAGACGTTGCGAGCAGGTCCGCAGAGATCTGAGCAGAGCAAATGCAAAAACTGAATGAGAGGGGCTGTTGTGTGTGTGTGTGTGTGTGTGTGTGTGTGTGTGTGTGTGTGTGTGTGTGTGTGTGTGTGTGTGTGTGTGTGTGTGTGTGTGTGTGGTGTGTGTGTCTGTGTCTGTGAGTGTGTCTGTCTGTGTGTGTGTGTGTGTGTGTGTGTGTGTGGTGGTGTCTGTGGTGTGTCTGTGTGTGGTGTGTCTGTGTGTGTCTGTCTGTCTGTCTGTGGTGTGTCTGTCTGTTCTGTGTGTGTGTGTGTGTGTGTGTCTGTCTGTGTGTGTGTGTGAGTGTGTGTGTCTGTGTGTGTGAGTGTGTCTGTCTGTGTGTGTGTGGTGTGTGTGTGTGGTGTGTGTGTGTCTGTGTCTGTGTGTGGTCTGTGTGTGTGTGTGTGAGTGTGTCTGTCTGTGTCTGTGTCTGTGTGTGTGAGTGTGTGTGTGTGTGTGTGTGTGTGTGTGTGTGTGTCTGTGTCTGTGTCTGTGTCTGTGTGTGTGTGTCTGTCTGTGTGATAGCAAACACTGAAATACATTGTTTACATGCAGCAATGAATTTTATTCACTCAAATTTCTTTCACGTGTGCTCAGAATAGTGGCACAAACAGCGCCATAGGTTGGTTGGATGTCATGGATGGATGGTTAGATTGACGGTTGGTGGGTGGATGTGTTGGTTGGGTGGGTCCAATAAAGATCCTGGTTGAAGCGGTGTGTAGTCAGACAGGTGAGCAATGGTCGCGCATCATGTGGAGTCTGTGCGCTGCACTGCTGTTCCTGTGATGGAGGTCACATGCGGGGCCTGAGTGTTTTTCACTCGCTGCCTCTAACCTCTGAGGTCAGCGCTCAGACTCTGTGCTCCGGGAGGACAACACTCTGAACTGGAGGAGCTCTGCTCCTGCTCAGTGATGCTCCGCAAACAGCCTCTGCTTTTATCGGGAGGGGCGTGTCCTAACGTGATTACATTTATCGTCACTGACGGCTGTGCTGTGATGCATTCGTGTGCATCCACAGCAGGAAAGAATATCTGATCGCTAACAAAGAAATGTCTGATTTCTATGGTGGTTTCATTTTAGCGCAGAGGCAGGAAAACACAAGAACATTAAAGTGAGTCGCAGGTCAGTGAGGGAGACCCACAGCTGCTGTTAGTCTCTGAAATGAATTCAAAGCAGCGCGAGACGAAAAGAAAAAATGCTCCTCGTGTGTGATCGGTGTCTGTGATTGGAGCCTCTCTTCTCTCCATCACAGACACTTATTACACCCACTGCATCCACAAAGCCACCAGCATTGTGGAGGATGCCACACACCCCTCACACACACCCCGCGCACACACCCCTCACACACACCCCGCCACCCCCCACCCCCCACACACCCCCCACCACCCCGCACACCCCCCCACACACCCCCCGCACACACACCCCGCACACACCCCGCACACACACCCCCGCACACACCCCACACACACCCCTCACACACACCCCACACACACCCCTCACACACACCCCTCACACACACCCCGCACACACCCCGCCACACCCCCTCGCACACACCCCCACACCCCCGCACACACACCCCTCGCACACACCCTCACACACACCCCGCACCCACCCCTCGCACACACCCCGCACACACACCCCTCGCACACACCCTCGCACACACCCCTCGCACACACCCCTCGCACACACACCCCGCGCCACACCCCGCCCACACCCCTCGCACACACCCGCGCACACACCCCGCGCACCACCCCGCACACACACCCCTCGCGCACACCCCGCACACACACCCCTCGCACACACCCCTCGCACACACCCTCACACACACCCCGCGCACACCCCTCACACACACCCCGCGCACACACCCCGCGCACACACTCTTAACCCTGCTGCCGTCTGGCACAGAGGAACCAGAGCGTCCGGGCGCTCACTGCCAGCCTGAGGAACAGTTTATTCCCCCAACACACACACACCAAGTCAGGGCTGGCTTTATGCTGGGGCAAGAGGGGGCAACGCCCCCTTAAACAATCGTTCTGCCTCCTTAAGTTAAACTTTTAGAAGTTGAGAAAGAAAATAATAGATTTCTGTGCTTTTTACTGTCTGTTTGCTCTGTGCAGTGCTTCACAGCTGAGAGCTCTTTTTGCTCGTTAAAGAGGACATGAAACACTGAACATGTTTACCCCACTGATCCTGACACACCGGGTCATGTTCAGCACCATCTTCTGTCAGTACGAGCGTGACGTCATGTGATTGGTTGGTTGAGGCTAACAGACGCACATTAGTTTATGTTAGCTAACTAGTGACAGGATCGATACCTCAGAGGAAAATAGGGACATTAAAGCTAAACATCAGTGTGAGGGGATCACTGTAGTGCTGCAGCAGTGAGTTTATGTGAAACCAGGACATACTGTGGACATACTGTCCACTTTACTGTCTGTGTCTGTAGCAGGAAGTGGCTGTTTGGCTAGCTGCACTGAAACAGGAAATCCAGCTGTTAGCCGTGATGTTGGTGTTTGTAAAGGACAGTGTAGAGGAGAGGCTGTTAGCTGCAGCCAACCAACCACCTGACGTCACGTTCGTACTGACAGAAACATGTTTTTATAACTTTAAGCTGTTATTTGTTAAATCCAGCTTCACAGCAGTTACATGTGTGTCAGAGTCAGAGCTCAGTGGGGTAAATTAGCCTCGATGTGTTCAGTGTTTCCTCTTTAAAGCTCAGTACAGAGAACAGAAGGTTCACACCTGTGGTTCATTGAGCAGCTCTGTGTTACCGCGGTCATACAACAGAAGAGCCCCGCCTGCAGCTACAGACGCCGTGTTATGGCGAGCAGGTGTGAGGTGAGACGGCCTGCAGACAAACCAACAGTGACGCTGTTGGAGGTGTGCAAATCACCTGCTGTCATTAAAGGTTTAAGTCTGGATGAACTCCTGAACAGGTGATGGTACCGCCACAAGACGACCTCTGACCTTTGACCTCTTCTATCTGTTTCAGGTCAGGGGATGACCGAGCCTGATCAGAGTCTTCTTGGCAGCGGGAACGGTGGGATCACCGTGGGAGGCCTCAAGTCCGTCCTGGAAGACGCCATCTCCCCGGCCTTTGGCGCCACCATCATCATCATCATCACGGTGATCATGTCCGGCAGTGCGTACCTCTGCTTCCTCAAGTACATCTGCAACGGCTGCTGCAAGCCCATGCAGGTGGTACCGGCCGCTGACGTGGACCCCAACAAGGTGGAGGAGCAGGTGTAGGTGATGGAGTCGGTCCCCGTGCTCGATTCAGGCCGTCGAGTTTTTCTGTCTGAAACGTTGTTTTCAGTTTCCTGCAGCTGGATGGATCAGAGGCCTCTGCAGGCGAGACGTGAAGCTCAGCACAGGCTGGAGAAACCAGCCAATCAGTGAACACTAACATGGTGCAACCACCTGCCAGACGCGTCACAAAATCAAAGACCTTACTTCAGTGGTTTGTTGGATCTCTGTGTTTGTGTTCAGTGGAGCTCCGTGTGCTGACATGTTCATGGAGCGTCAGCAGGTAAAAATACGAGGCTGCAGTTTCTGTGAGGATCTTCAGGAACTGTTCTCCAGGCTTCCTGAAGGACAGTCAAAGCTCTTCTTTGGATGTTTCTGCCTTTGCTTGTGTTCTCTGTCAGGATGATCCCACACTGCTTCAGTGGAGCTGAGCTCTGAGGAGGCGCATCCATCACTGATGTGTGCTTTGTGTTTGGCATCACTATGATGCTGAAAAATGAAGCTGCTGCCAGTCAGATGTTTCCAGATGTTCCTGCGTGGTGGATCAGACTCTGTAATTCATCAGTTTATCAAAGAACCTGAAACCATGACACAGCCTCCACCGTGCTTCACAGATGGCTGCAGACTCTCACTGCTGGACCTCCTCCTGACCTCCTCGTACACACTGACCATGATGTGGATCCATCTCTCCATCACACCTGTTCCTCTGACCTTCAGTCCAGTTCTGGTGTCATTTTCAGCCTCAGGTTACTTTATTTCTACATGGAGGTAGCTTTGTTCTGCAGCTGTGAATCCTCACATACACACTCTCAGTACAGCTACACACAAACACAACGTTCATTCGTCCGTCTCAGTAACGGCGGCTACAACAAAGCCATTTTTAAACGTGCTGTTTTACGTTTTGGGACCAGAAGGAAAAACTGAAACGGACCAGCTGCACCTGCCTGCTGTGGTTCCTCTGTCGGCCCGTTGGACTGAGTTTCTTTTCTTTACCGATAAATATCCAAACTGTGACACCAAAGAAAAATGACAGGGTGATAAAATAAACCATCATGGTTTTGTCAACATGGAAGCGAGAAAGCTGTGCGAGACATGAGCGTGGCTGGTGGGCGTTAAGCTCCACAGTCTGACCTGTAATAAGACTGACTTCATGTGTGCGAGTGCTTTTCCTAAAGTCACGAGTCGTATCTTTAGACGTAGCTATGCTCGGCTGCAGACAGGACACCTCAGCAAGTACTGAGTCATGGCTGCTACGTGCTGTGGCTGGAAAGAAACACAGCAGATTTCCATGAGACTTACTGCTTCTTACGGAGCAGAAGGCTTTTCCACGTGACCCCCGCTCGATGCCAATGTGCTCGTTATGTTTGCGGCTGAATGAACTGAACATCAGCTGGCTCACAGTCTGGATGCTGCTGTGGTTCTCACTCTGGACCAGGCTTGGTGTTCCTCAGCAGCACGGCGAGGTCAGACGGCGTACGTGTTTAAAAACAGGATTCCTACAGATTCGGTCACTCATGGTTTAATCTTAGGATGAGCTCTAACTCACCTGGAAGGAATAATCGTGTCTTTTCAAAACACAGAATAAGAACACATCAGCAAGCGTCCACATCATCCCCACAAGTCTCTGTGAACATGTCCCCACTGTGTGCTGCGTAAGTGAGCAGTGAGTGCACACAGCTGTGATCTGGACTCATCTGTTTGCCTTCAGTAAGGATGTCTTCCTCACAGACGTCCTTACTCAGAGCATTTCTGAGGAGGCTTCAGTGAACAGCAGATGATCAGCTGAAGGTCCTCCTTGTTTACCTGCTGTGGATGGGCTGGTTCTGTGTTCATGTCTGTTATGTGTTGACACGGCTCTGGTTCATCTTTTTGTTAGGAGCCTTTGATGCTTGAATGAGTTGTAGGTCAGAGTTCAGACCCTTAATAAAAAACCTTCCTCGGGTACAAAGACTGGACTGAACCTGAGTGTAAGAGCAGCCAGTGTCCAAAGAAGACCTTTTACAGACCTTCAGGGGGGTGTGGATCAAAGGTAAGGAAATGACGGTGGCTCAACAGTACTGAGCTGTAAAAAGACTAAAGCAGCATTTCAGGAAAACATGAGTGTTTCACACAGACTGTGTCCTGTCGCCGTGCTGATTGTTGTACGTGTGTGCGTGTGTGTGTGTGTGTGTGTGTGTGTGCGCGCCGAGCTCTGTATTCTCCAAAACGTGTTTTTTAATAATTAAAAACATGAACGCTGAGGCTGTGACGCCGAGTTAATGATCCCAGCCGTGAGCTCGGAGCTCATCAAACACACAAACATGGACGCTGCAGCATCCTGTCAGCAGACCCATCACCATGGAGACCAAACATGTCCTCCTGTGACAAAAACTCCGCCCTGATGTGATTTGAATCTGCTTCCTCCTGATTGTTCGGAGGCGCCTCACGCATCCAGCAACGGAAGTGAGTTCAGAACTGACACACACACGTACTCGTTTTCATATGCTAGTGAGGACATCTCATTGACATAACCCTAACCTGACCCCGACACTAAAACCTTCAACTTCATGTGGACGACCCTTTGTCCCCAGGACTGCGGGTCCCCACAAGTATAGTAGGATGCCAATTTTTGGTCCTCACAAAGATACATTTTATTTATGAGCGCCTTTCAAGTCACCCCAGGACACTTTACAATAGGATAAAACACTTAGTAAAGATAACATTAACAAACAGTGGAGTCACAGTGAATATGCAGATTTGAACAGATGAGTTTTGAGTTGGGATTTAAACTGGGAGAGAACCAGTGTTTCTTATTTCTGGGAGCAGAGCAGCTGAAAGCTCTGCTTCCCACGGTGGTGAGGCGGAAGGAAGGTACAGTAAGCTGGATGGAAGAAGAAGATCGAAGTGAACGGGCAGAACAGGTGGTGGTTAACAGGTCAGCAAGGTAAGGAGGAGCGAGGTTATGAAGGGCCTTGAAGGTGAGCAGAAGAAGTTTGAATATTATCTGGATTTTCACAGGGAGCCAGTGAAGTTCCTGAAGAACAGGTGATGTGCTGGTAGGAGGGGTTCTGGTGGTAATGTGAGCAGCAGAGTTCTGAACCAGCTGAAGCTGATGGAGGGATTTTTGGGGGAAACCATGCAAAAGAGAGTTGCAGTAGTCGATACAGGAGGTAACAAGACTGTGGACAAGAACGGACGTAGACTGGGTGGAGAGAGAAGGAAGCAATCTGTTAATGTTACGTAGATGGAAGTAGAATGGCCTGGATGACACCAAGGCTCTTAACCTGAAGATGCCTAAACATGGCGCGCGCACACACACGACATAAAACTGACAGATTGATGATGTCACCTACACCTGTCAGTGAGGGGGGCGGACCCTTCCTGTCTTCGTGCTCACTGGTTACAGGCTGTCATGTGACTGCCCTCCTCGCCTGTCGCTTTACCTGCTCATCATTAAAGCTGCTGTGCAGGTGCGAGTTTTCAGAGCGTCCACCTGAAGCGGGCCTCAGAGTGGAGGGAGGTTCACGCCTCCTCTCTGAGGGACAGTGAAGAGCTTTGAAGTGGGAGGAGTCAGATCAGGATTTACTGTTTGAGTTTCATGATGTTCAGTTTTCATGGTGATAGATCCACAGCCGATTACCCACACATGCATGTCTCTCTGTTACCGATGACCTCTGACCCTTAGACTGAGAATCCTCTCAGAGCTCCAGACGTACCCAAAGCATCAGCAAACGCCCGCGGCTGATGGAGCAGGAGGGCCGTGAGGAGCGCACGGCTGAGCTGTGGAGTCCATCTGTGTCCATCAGCCACTGTGGGACACAAATCCATGGCAACCACCTTTAACAGGCTGACACCTGAAATCTGTATATGACAGTTTGGGGGTTGAGTCACGAGACCGATGCTCGTCGTGTTCGTGGTCCTGTAAAACCATCACACAACAAAGAACGACGTTCAGCTGCTCGTGAGGATTTCATCGACCTTTAAACACAACCTCACAGATTTTACTGTTTTATTATAAAGACAAAGAGACTTTTCTTTCTTTACATTAGATAACTGAATTTTTCAATGTAATATTTATCTTTCTTCCTGACTTGATGGAAATAAGCAGTGGTTGGACCCTCTGGGTGGACGCTTCTGGCCCACGGGCCGTATGTTTGCCACCGTTGCTGTAAAGCTTGTGAAGCTAGAGTAGCTGTATCGTGAAGGTTCGCTGTGCCAGCTGCTGTTTGTTTGTGCGGCGTCTCACTGGGACACAAAGACTCGGCTCAGGTTTAAAACGGTTTTTATTAAAGCAACAACAGAAAGAAGCGCGGTTGGCGTGAGAGCGCCGTCAGCAGAGACCGCCACGGTCATCAGGGCTGCTCAGGTCCTCGAGCGGGGAATTGGTGAGCAGCCTTTCATCCTCTCTGCTGACGCTCCGAGACGTGAGGAAGGAGGAGCCGAAAGAGCGCCGAGAGCCGGAAGCAGGAAGAGGTCGAGGTCAGAGTCAGCGTCTGATTTGGCACGGCGTCTGATTGGGATGCTTTTTGGACCTCCCTGCCCTCCAGCTCTCGGCTTACTTTCAGGACCCGCAGTTCTCCTTCGGCAGCACGTCGACGTCCTGCTCTGTGGGCGGGGTCATCAGGGCGGGTTCGCTGCTCATCCTGTCGCCCTTGCGAGCTGCGGAGACAGAGAGAGATGGAGAACAGGAAAGAGTTTATTTAAAATGGAAGAACTTCCTGTCTGACACTGTTCTAACTTTAGAGGCTTTTATTCTGTAAAAACGTCAGCCTGAAGCTCCTCCAGCTTCACGCAGTCGGAGCTCTGATGTCTCTGTTCTCCTCACACAGGTGTGCTCAGGTGAGTCCAGCTCTGCTCCTGTGCTGGACCGTTTGTCTCTGGGTCCCGGTGATTCTGCTGCTCAGTCGCCATCAGACTCACAAAAGCGCCGAGTGTCGGCTCTGCAGCTCCACAGCACAGAAACAGGCGTTTCTTTGTGTCTGCAGGTCAAAGGTCGCGGTTCTGCTGAAGTGGAGTCGAAGCTCCACACAGGTTGCCCCTCTGGGAGTCGTGTCACGTAGACACGGAGCGGCGAGGACTGCAGGACTGGAGCTGCTGGTCCAAACCTCAAACGTCCACATGACGCACCAAAGAGCGTCTGTGAGCGCAGACGGGGTTTCCTCTGCAGTGAGGCGCACCGCAGGGTTTAAATACAGCTTCTGTTCAGGTGAGCTGCCCAGAGTGTTTCTGTTTCTGTGGTGAAGTTTCTGTGCGAACGCTCTCACCAGGCTCTCTTGATTTCCTCTGTCAGCGCTGCAGAGGCGCCTCGTTGGCCACGGCGGCGTGGAGAAAAGAGGACAGTCTAAAACAGCTGCGAGAGCTTCACCACATCCTTCTCACCGCAGCTGCAGCTCTGAGCGCCGCTTTCTCACAGTAAACAGAGTCTGAGGCGAGTCTGCAGAGGATCTCTGACTGAACCTGAGCGTCACCTCTTTGTCCTCTGAGGTCGACTGACACCGATACATCACTGGAGGACACTGACCACACTCACATTTAGCCTGCTTGCATCCCGCGGTGCTCGGCTTCTCCGGCTGCTCCTCTCCTCGCGCCGCAGCCCGGATCTTCCTCGCCACGTACCGACAGGCTGCAAACAGAACGACATGAACTCGAGTGAGTTAACGGACCCACCGTGAGTCCCATTCCCCGAGAACATCGGGACTTAGGATCAGACTTAACTGAAATCATATCTGAGCCAGCAGGCTCTGACACCGCCACACCGTCCCCGAGTTTGACCCCTAACCCTGAATTATCCTGCCGGTGCAGGAAATGCTGATTACATCTCATAAATGCAAATTAACAGTCCGTTCATGTCTTTGTCAGAAGCTGACCTGATTGGCACTTTTTGGGGGGTAACAACAATAATAATATTGATATTTATAACAAAGTGCAGTAATAACAGTGTGCAATACACTTATTCTACATTTTATTACTAACTTAAGTTACTGCGTGGTGTTGTACGTAGTGCCGACGGGGGAGTTTTTCCATTGTACTGCTGTACTATGCCTGACTGTGCAATGACAGTAAAGAGTCCTTATCTTATCTTGTGGTAATTATCTGATGGTTCAGGCTTAACGGGCTCGTTTGCATCTGGAGCTCCGGCTGTGGGAACCCCGCGATGATGGTGTCAGAGTCTGAAACCGGATGCAGGCTCGTGACCGTCTCGCTCGGCCGGTTTGGCTTCAGAGGAATCCAGAGAATGAATGTGGGTCCCAGCCACTGCTCCTTAATCTGACAGCTAAAATAATCCCAGCTTCTATTATCATTATTATTATTATTATGAAATCCTGTTTAGCTTCCGGTCGGCATCAATGAACATGCTGAAGCAAACAGAGACCATCGTTCATAATGTAAAGAGCCGCAGCGGCCACACACGAGAAACCAACACAGTGAAAAATGTCTCCACACACACGGAACTAAAGAAACGACACGTTACACGGTTCACGCTGACAGGTTTGGTTTTAAGTCATCTTTTCATTACTTATTTCTTTCTTTAATTTTCACTGATCGCTGAAGAAAGACTGTCGCTGTGTTCAGGCGCTCCGGAAGCTCCTTTACACCAGTTCAAAGTCTGGCACGTAAATCCAGGTGAGACCAAATCAGCGCTGTTTACCATCTGCACTCAGATTAGACCGAGATTATCTTTAAAGGTGGGAGTTAATCTGGGCTGTCTCTCAGCCGCAGGTTTGGCTCTCGGGGTTAATCCAGAGTTTAGCCAGAGCCAGGCCCTCAACTGTGGGCTCGATCTAATCCCTGGAGTAACCCTGACAGAGCCGCAGGTAACCCGGAAGTGAGAAGCCTGGTCTCGGGTTCAGACCTGAGCCAGAGTCTGTCGGACTCACCGCTGATGATCAGTCACACCATCCTTCAGATGCGCGGTGTCAGGAGCTGCTGTTCTGGTCCGTGTGTCCGTGTGTGTTAACGCTCAGCTGATATCTGAGCTCTTCCTCAATAACAAGTCTCCTCTGATAGCCCCTCCCTCTGAGGAGGGGGAGGAGCCTTCACTGTCGCTGCAACAAGCTCAGATCCTCCTCCTGAGTGATCTGTGCTCCTGGATCGTCCAACACTGAATCTGACTGTAACCCACGATGCTGTCAGGTCAACGATGGTGTTCAGAGGGGTCAGACAGATTGTAACTGAGTACATGTACTCAAATACTTACTGAAGTGCAGCTTTAATGTACTTCAGTAAGTATTTGAGTACATGTACTCAAATACTTACTGAAGTGCAGCTTTAATGTACTTCAGTAAGTATTTCTGTGCAGTGGCGGTCCTAGCCTGTTTGGCGCCCTGGGCGAACACTCCCTCTGCCCCCCCCCCCCCCCCCCCACACACACACACACACACACATATGGAGAGAGAGAGAGAGTGCATAGTATGCAAACGGCTACCAAACAGCCATCATAATTCGTCATACAATGAGAACAGGACAAATCAACAACTGACAATGACTCATTAATATTAAAACCTGTAACATAATGTGTTGTTTGGAGTTTCGTCTGTTACTGTTGCTGTTTTTACCATTTCTTCTGGGAGCAACTGTAACCCACATTATTTCCTCATTGTCAGTTGTTGATTAGCTTCCCCAGCTCATGAATGAACGCGATGCTGTTTTGATCCTGAGAGACAGTTACTTCTACATCTGCATCATCGCTCTCAGCGCCACTCTCCCAAAACTCTTCGTCAGGCTCAACATGAGCTTCCTCCATGAGGCCGCCTCTCTCTGACTCTCTGTCCAGTTCAACATCCAAACTAGGCAGAGGGTGACGTCACACAATGCACTGGCACAAGATGGCGCTGCACATGCTCTAAAACATAGGTGTCAAACTCTGGCCCGCGAAGCCATACCAAATTACTATTAGAGCTGGACTACTGGTATTATACAGCTAATATATATGTTGTTTAGTATTAAGCTTTGCTTGTTCCATATTCAGTCCATAAGAAAAGATTCATTCATATATCTGGAGGAAGGTTTTTTTTCAATAAATATCAATGTTAGCCCACGATTTTGTTCCAGTTTTCAATTTTGGCCCACTTTGTATTTGAGTTTGACACCCCTGAAAACCAGTAACTTTAAACACTTACTGGTCAAATCCATCACAGACCTGACACAGCACCTGAGCGACGGTCCACAGTTCACTGAAACCTCCTCAGAAATGCTGTCATGAAGACATTCTTAATGAAGGGAAACAGGAGGACAGACTGAGGCTGAAAATGACACCAGAACTGGACTGAAGGTCAGAGGAACAGGTGTGATGGAGAGATGGATCCACATCATGGTCAGTGTGTACGAGGAGGTCAGGAGGAGGTCCAGCAGTGAGAGTCTGCAGCCATCTGTGAAGCACGGTGGAGGCTGTGTCATGGTTTCAGGTCAGTCAGTGCTGTTGGAGATCTTAAACTGATGAATTACAGAGTCTGATCCACCACGCAGGAACATCTGGAAACATCTGACTGGCAGCAGCTTCATTTTTCAGCACGCCGATGATCCCAAACACACTCAGAGAGCAGTGAAAGCACACAGGAACACACACACGAGTCATGGAGTCCAGTGTCGAGTGGAGACTGCTTTGTTCCTCCTGAATTGGAGGCCTTGTTTCTTGAAGAGTCAAACACCATCCCGCTCATGCAGCGTTGTAGAGACATGCAGCCAGAGCTGCAAAGCACTGTGGGTGAGCCTCATGCACCCGTGTAGCTTCTACGTCTCTAAGCAGGCCTTAGCCATCACTCGTCATCGCTCGCTGTGTTATCAGTTAAATACAGGGACCAAACAGTGCTGCAAACATGCTTATCTGCTGGGAAGCTTTAACATGGGAGTCTACGGGGACGGGCTCGCTGCTTCCCCTATTGGACGTCAGAGGAACTGCATGTTTTGTGCTTCAGTGTGTTTCCGTCACCACGAGTGTGTGAACAGGTCCTCACAGCATCACACACACACTCCTGCCTTCCTTCCTTATGAGGCCCACTGTCATAATGACTTCAACCACAGACTGACCCGAGCCTCAGCTTGAACACACCGCGAGTCCGAACCCCCCTGCCCCCTAAAGCTGCCACCTGCCCACGTGACTGCACACTGTAAAAAGTAAGTGTCGGTGAACGTTGAGAAGTGTTACGGTTCCGTTTCGGAATAACTCGGTGCTGTTGGTTCGTCTGCCTGTGACTAAGCAGCAGACATGCGCGCTGTCACATAAATAAACCCACTTATAAATAAAGGCACGTGACACCCCGTGTGCGCGTGCTCTGGGTGAACCCACACTTTTTCCAGCGCGCTCTGATTCCTTGAAGCCGGACTCGTTTCTGCGCACACGCCAGTTTCGCTTCCGCGTACTTCCCCGCCTCTTGCTGCCGTGAAAGCTACCAGGAAACACACTCGGAGCCGGATCACAGCACACTGACAGCGGCGAACCTGCCGGGGACATGGCAGCCTCTGTGTGCGCCTTCATCCTGGCGCTTTACGCACTGTGCGGCTCCGCAGGTAAGCACACCTTTACTTTGAGGGCAGGTGAGGAGGAGGCGGTCTGACGGAGGGAAAGGCAGCGCAGAGCGTCTGGAGCTCAAAAAGAAAGCTCAGCTAGTGACGAGTGTTTAAACTAAAGCTGTGAGCTGAAACCCAGAGCACAGTCTGCTGTTTACTCAGTCAGACAGGTGAACTTTGACCCCAGCACAAGAGACAGCAGTGTGTTTTAGTGTCAGCGAACAGCGCTCATGTCTTTGTGTTTGTGCTCAGCCGGCTCAGGAGGGCTCAGCGCACCCACCCACGTCCGACTGACGTCCTACAACATGGACCTGGTGCTCAGGTGGGATCCACCTGAAGGGACGACCGATGTTCTGACCTACACGGCCGAGTACAGGTGAGTCACCGGCGGGTGTGACATCTTCAGGTGATCGCAGTTTAGTGTCAGAGAACTGAGTCACTTTCAGTTTGAATGTTTACCTTCAGGAGGGCGAGTGCGATCATCACACTTAGGGCTGGGTATCGTCACTGATTTCTAGAATCGATTCAATTCCGATTCACAAGGTCCCGAATCGATTCGATCCACGATTCGATTTAATTCGATTCTATTCAATTTGAATATGGGAAATTTTGACAGTCAGAAATATTATAATTCAGATCAGTACATTTACATATTTTTGTATCTATAAAAAGGAAGCTGACACACGCAAGACTTTATCAAAGGTGTGAGCATCACAGCAGAGGCCTTTGTGTCAAAGTAGCTGAGGATAAAACACAGAAAAACATGAAGGTGATTTTCCTGGCCTGGATTTTATAAAAATATTCTGCAGTACATCAAAAACGAAAGAAAACCATTAATCAACACATGATTGTAATCTGAAGTTACAGCAGTTTTATTAGAGACACAGCATTTTGCATTTTGCATAATTTCAAAAAGTTTTAATTTGTTCAGTATTGAACGGCAGAAATTAGGTTTTCTTTTCGGAAGTATATAAAACGAAAAAAAAGAAAGTCGGCCGACAGCGCTGTAAACAACGGTAGTCTTGTGCGTAACAAGTAAGCGAATAATGAAGAAAACAGATTTTTAGACGGGAAACTGTTCTTGAAGTATACTGAGAGAGAGAGGGAGAGAGAGAGAGAGCTGTGCATCGTGGTCGAAGCAAAACAGTAAAAGTCAGAGTGAATTCATGACGATGTTTATGTGAAGCATAGTTTGGATCTTCTTTTGCTGCTGGTTCGGTCAATATTGTTTGGAGAGACATCAAACTAACAGCTTTAGAATCAGCGCATAAAGGGCGTGAACACACGGACCCGCCGAATCAGAATCAGCGAGCTGTCGGCTTTCAGCCCCGACCGTGAGAAAGGCGACATCTCACTGATTCTGATCCGTGGGTTCGCGCTGTGTGTTTAAGTCTTTGTGCAGAATCCGTGTTCCTGCTCTCATTTACTCTCTTAGCTGTTTGGTGGTTCTTGAAATTTTGTGAGATTTCACCTGAGATTCTGGCATTTCGGGCAAAATAAATTTATATAAAAAAATCGATTCAGGATTTTAATGAATCGATTTTACGTTATCCAAGCCAGAATCGATTTTAATCGATGAATCGATTATAAAACCCACCCCTAATCACACTGCGAGCTAGAAAAGGAAACTTAATCTTTGGGTCTTACTCGTCGCTGTCAGTGGAAAATCAAAGATTCCAGAGCAGCTGGGCTCAGAAATGGACGTTATTCTTCCTCCGAAGAGTCCGATCACCTCAGTGTTTGGGAGCAGGTCACACTTCGCTTTGTCATATTTTAGTTGCTCTCTGAATCAGGGATGCCAAACATGAGGCCTGGGGACCAGCACCGGCCCACCAGAGGCTCCATTCTGGACAGTTCATAAAGTATTATGAAGAAGTTTTACCTGCAGGACACTGGCTTGGGAATACGTGGAAAGTTAAAATATTCCTAGATCTTTATAAACTACTGACATCATACAGAATGAGTGCACGTTTGCTCACTCCTGCCAAAATAAAAAATGAAAGGCTGCAGCAATAAAACATCCACTGATGCTTTCTCCTATGAAACCCTTCGGTTCAGCGATGCTGCAGAGCTTCAGGTCCTGCTGGGATTTGTCCCAAGTAAGGCGCGAGCCTTTTCCCAGGGTCTGCATGGACTGAAGGAACAGTGACTGCAATAAAGCCTGTGAGCGCAGGATGTACTCTGTTCAGGCCACATAGAGGAAGTTGGATAAACTGTCAGTAAGATAATCCATGCAGAATGTGAACTAATGAAATCCGATGTGGCCACAGACCGCCCCTGAGAAGACCCGCCTACCTTGATGTACTCACGCGTGCGAGCAAACCTGACCCCCACGACAAGCCCATTACCGTCAGATTATGAAACGCCACCCTATTCAGCTCTTCCCACCATGTCTGTGTCCGATGGGCTCCTGCAAAAAGCTCATTATCTGCAAACTGACGCGCCGCCATCCCTGCATGAGGAAGCACCTGTACCTCCAGGTGAAGCGCTGATGGTGCCTCGCGATGAGGAGACTGAAACAGCCGTGTCCAAAGAAGAAGTACAAACGCAGTTATGGAATCACAAAGTCACAAAAGTTACTCATCCAAGAGCGGGGGAACGGTGAGTTCCAGCTGTTGTTCTGGGAGAGATCATTCTAAGAAGAACAGATTTCATGAGTCTGTATAAATGTGCCCTCGTGTCCAGCATCAGGAGTTTTTCCTGCAGGCAGTATAAATTTGAACCTGATGTCTTTCTGTAGGAACAAACATTTAAAACTCAGCGCTGAGTAAACCTTCCATCACACCTGGATTTACCTGGATGCAGAGGTGCGGCGGTTATTCTGTAGAACGCTGTGCGCTGATGAACAGTGTGTTTGCAGACTCGTGGATTAGTCGTGTTTTTTCTCTCCTGTTGAGATGTCGAGTAAAACCGTCACAGGAACATCTTCGCTTCTTTGTGGGTGTTGACCTCCGACCTCAGCCCCTCCTCCCTGCGCTGTCAGATCTCGGCTTTATGAGGTCGATCTGATGAAGACGTGCGTTCAGGCAGAAGTCAGGAGGCGGAGTCATGTTCAGATGAACAGATTAAACTGCGGTGCGTTTGTGGAACCGACACAACCGCCGTCATGTCCAAACATAATCTCAGCATCTGATTGGTCAGGGCACAGCCTTCCATCTGTGCCCGGCTCAGGCAAGCCGGCGGCGTTCCCGGGTCTTCTTTGCGTGGACGCAGTGATGATCCTGAGCCCATGCAGATGTGTCCATCCAGCTGTGTGCGCTCTGGAAACACCCGGCCTCCTCTTTAGTTGGCAGACGTCGAGGTTTACACTCTTCTCCAGCCTTTTGTTGCAGCTCGTCCAACTTTTCTGAAAAACGATTCTAAAGCGGTGTCAGTGTCAGCACTCGATGTGCTCCCTTTGTGCGTTTTCAGATGATCCTTAATGATTATTTAAAAACAGTATGCACGTGCTCTGAAACGGTGAGGACAGCGCAGTGACTGCAGACCGGTTTAGTCCTGCTTTGCATATGAATCTGTGATATCTGCACCATCAGTCCTGCTGTTCCACATTTCTGAAAAGCTGCAATCAGATCACTTACAGGAAGAACAGCACCTGCCTTTCTCCTGCTCTCCGGCCCACTGAAGCCATTTTAATATGTGTGGTGTGGTTTGTGAGGACCGTGGTGAAATCGAAGCTGTTATTGTTGCGGTCCAGGTGTTCACACAACAGAAACGTCCTCTTATCTGCAGCGTCTCTGTTCTGGGAAACGCCTCCACTCGACTGACTCGTTAGAAAGCAAACGCACGCTTTTCTGTCCCGATGCACAAACGGTGAACGTGGCGTTCCAGCTTTGATGTAACCAGCACCGCCAGCTCGTGTGAGCGTTAGTTTCTTTGCTTCGTGCCGTCACACGTCCTGCAGGATAAAGTCGTGAGATCTTCTTGAACAGCGGTCGTGTTCCCGAGAGGAGAACATCTGTCTGAAGTCACACCTGTGACGCCATCGCTGTGTTTCTCTGTTACAGAAGCTTAGCAACTGGATACAACAATGGCTGCACAAACACATCAGCCCTCAAATGTGAGTTCACCTCCTCCTCCATCACCGTGCACGGGAATTACACGGGCAGAGTGCGGGCGCATCGGGGGGCCGAGAGCTCCAGCTGGGTGGAGAGTAACGTCATTGTCATGGACAGACACAGTAAGTGAATCTCGTCATATGTGCCGAGCTCGTTTGTCTCTGATCCAGTAGCGTGACACAGAGAGGAAAACCGAGTATTAGCCGATGACGAGCTGATGGGTGTCGTTTATCCCACTGAAACTTTTGCCCGTTTGGCACTCGGGTGGAAATTTTAGCTCTGTGCTAAAAAACCAGCCCATAGTGATTGGAGAGGGGATCTAACCCCTGCAGTTATCTGCATTTGAAACTATGAAATCTGCAGGCACAAAGCAAGACCTCTGCTTCTGGGAGCTTTTGGTATCCTCTCGTTGGCCACTTCTACTGGACAGAGCTGAAGCTTTTCCAGTTGTGCCACATGTGCTCCACAGTGGGAAATGTTGCTCTAACTCCCATCGGCTGCTCAGTTTTGTTCCAAGCTTCCATGTTAGTGGATTTCCAGGCCAAGACTTTCCCCTCTGTCGTCTGGTATTTACAAAGGAAGAGGCTAAAAAGCCAGCTGACAATTATAAGGCAGCAGATAATAACCCTCACAGCTGACTTGTAGATGATTAAGGTTATTTTCCCTCGTGTAATGTCATCATTCAAGTCAAGTCAAGTCAAGTCAAGTTTATTTATAGAGCACATTTAAAAACAACCAAGGCTGACCAAAGTGCTGTACAGTAAATACAGATAAAAATACAATAGAACACAATTTCGTAAAACACCTCGCTGATCAAAATAAAAAATAAATAAACAATTAAATTAAACCTTTCTAAAAGCCAATGAAAAGAGGTGAGTTTTAAGAGCAGTTTTAAAAGTTTCTAGGCTTTTGGAGAATCTGACGTGAGGAGGTAAACTGTTCCACAGTCTGGGTGCAGCCACAGCAAACGCCCTCTCTCCCTTTGTCTTTAATTTATACCTGGGAACATCTAAAAGCATCAGATCGGCTGACCTCAAAGATCTCCTGGGGCGATAAGTACTAAGGAGTTCTGACAGGTAAGAAGGTGCAGTGCCATTTAAAACCTTAAAAGCCAGCAGTAAGATTTTAAAATCAATCCTAAAAGCAACTGGGAGCCAGTGGAGACAGCAGAGAACCGGAGTGATGTGGTCTCTTTTTTTTTGAACCAGTCAACAGGCGAGCGGCAGCGTTCTGCACCAGTTGAAGGCGATGTAGACAGGAACGATCTAGGCCAGCATAGAGGGAATTACAGTAGTCCAGCCGTGAAGTAATAAAAGCATGGACCACTCTTTCTAGATCGTTCCTGCAAAGGTAAGACTTGACTTACCTTGACTTGACTTGATCATTGATCTAACAGAACAAGTTTTGGGAGGTAAAATGAAAGATTGGTGAATGAGACCATTTGGTGGCTCTCAGAGAAGCTTCCTGAGATCAGGATGGTCCCCTTCAGCTCCGGTTCAGACTGTGGCAGCAGCTGTGTGGGAGTCTGCAGTTATGCAATGACTGCTTCAGCAGGGGACGTCTGAAGAGCCTCGCTGAGCTGAAGACGATCAGAAATGAAACCGTGAGCGAGCTTTTCAGCGTCTCGCTCGTCAGAGCTCTCGCCGTCGCTGACTTCAGTCCAGTCAGAGTGAAATCCTGGTTTCTGTGTTTCTGTCTGTGTCCTCAGTGAAACCGTCTGCCGTCATGGTGGGAACCTCCCCAGCTCCAAGCACACTGGCATGACAGAGCTGTAGCAGATGGAGTGGACTGTTAGAGAAGCTGCAGCTTTGATTTTGTCCAATAAAAACGTCTCTCCACATCTGTCCCCTCAGCCTTCATCGGTCCACCTGATGTGACTCTTCATGTCACTGGGACATCTTTGGAAGTCAGCATTAAAGACCCAGTGTTCAAGCAGTCAGAACTGAGGGAGACGTACACCTCGGCCACCTATAACATCACCTACTGGAAGAGCAGCTCGAAGGAAGAGGTGGGAACGCCGGTTTGTAGTTTTAGCTTCTAATATTATTAGAAGCTAACATTATGCCAGCTAATATCAGGCTCCAGTGTCCTAAAATCACACTTTCCCTCTGATAAACAGTTTGATTACGTTCTCATATCACACGAGAGTTTGTTCACAAAGCGTCTGGGTGCAACAATGTTAGATGCACAATAAAGTTTCATTAAACCAGCTAAAAGCAGCAGAAACAGCATTGCTAAGGACACTTAAGCATAAGCTCAACAACTCATGGCTGAGCTTCCCTGACTTGCACTGGCCTCCTGTCACAGAGCTTCACAGCCTCTTTCAGATTAAATAAAGGTGGCGGCGTCTCGCCCACCAGTGACAGCTGAGGTAAACAGCACTGACAGCCTTCCACAGGCTTGGAGGTGGACGCGGTCCAAACAGTAGCAGGAATACGGCCACAACCGTTATGATGTACAGTCCAAATTTCATGTGTTTGATCTCTCATAGAAGCATGTTTGTCCTACAGCAGCCACCGTAGTTAGAGCTACGCACTTAAAGTGTGAGGGGTAAGAAACTGCTGACAGCTAGTGATGATGTTTTACACACTGTAACTAGGGATGCACCGATACCAGTATCGGTGCATCCCTAACTGTAACTTTTAAAAATTCAAAGAGTGAAAACAGTGAAATCAGCTGAGCTCCTCTGCTGCCTCCTACAGGTAGAAACAATGAGTGACATGATGCAGGACCGAGTGGTTCTTAGTGACCTGGACCCGCTGAGCGAATACTGCGTCCAGGTCCAAATCATCACCAACATGAACCCCAGACCGAGCGAGTACAGCGACGTCGTCTGTGAGCGCACCGGTGACGGTAGGCACCGCCGTCACACAGCCGTCACAATCGCTCAAGGTGTCGCTGATGGGCTCACCTGCTGCTGTGTGGTTTTCTTACAGTGGATGCAGCTCCGTGGGTGGCGGCCGTGGTGACGTTTGTGGTCATGGCCACGGTGGTGGCTCTGGTGGTGACTCTGGTGGTCTACTGGAAACAAATCTCCAAGTTCCTGTGCCCAGAAGTCGTGCTGCCGCCACACTTTAAAGAGGTGTGTGTGTGTGTGTGTGTGTGTGTGTGTGTGTGTGTGTGTGTGTGTGTGTGAGTGTGTTCTTTAATCTAACACTGACCTTTCTGCCCCGCCCCTCAGTCTCTGCTGCTGAATGATCCCAACTCCATCTACCCAGTCTCGCTGCCCTCTGAGCACTGCGACCACGTCAGCATCGTAGCAGACCACAGGACTGAGGAGGAAGGAGGGTGCAGCACTCAGCCTGATACCTCACAGGATGGGGGCTAGGAGGCGCAGGAGGGGGTGGGATGCACTTTAAAGACTCTGAGAATCGGCCTCTGACTGTGAGGTTTTAGAGCTGTGAACTCTGCAGCAGTGAAGTGATGAAGACGAGCAAGAACAGGTGAAGCTGGCCCAGGTGAAGCTGTTCCCACTGTCACAGGCTGCTGTTTATACTTTAATAGTTTATTCATGTCAATGTAAATGTTTGCTTTCTACTGGTTTTTTAATGGTTTTAATGGTCGGAGGTTAACCGAAGCCTCTGCTGCTCCTGCTCGTAGGAACCAGGTGACCCGATGCTGGGCTGTACTGAGACAGTCTGGGTCTTTTACTGCTCTGTCTTCGTAGCCCAGTTTAATTACGTGTTCAGTAACTGGATTACAACATAACTACATGTGAAGGTGTAGCCCTGCAGGCTGTGTGTTTGGGTGTAGTAATAACTGATGTGGGGATGAGGTTGGCTTGGGTTTGCCACCAGCTGCTGTGAGACCTCGCCGTCCTCTGCTGTTTCCAGCGGGTTCACCTTGGATCTCCATCAGGCAGGATTCGGGCCGTCCAGCAGAACTTATGATGAAGAAGTGTGAACACTGTAAATACTCTGATTTATTTCTAATAAAAGTCTTTGTGACGGATGAAATGCTTCTGATTGTTCTTCGCTACAGAAACACGTGAAACATCGTTTTAAATCAGACTCAAACTTGGCTGCTGGTGTTCCAGATCAAGTGGCGTTGGTCAAACAGATGTGTGGTAGACTTGCTTTCAGGACTCCATTTGAGTGCTCACAAAGTAAACTGCACGCTTTAGTTGTGAAGCCAAAACGCTGAAATCGCAGTAATAACACGTGCGAGGGAACGATAACAACGACAAGATTCTCCAGATCGTTTGCTCTGTCCTGTGAACTGCATCGGCGTGGTGTCAGTCGTTTGGTGTTTCTGCGATCGTGCGAGAGAACATCACCAGGTAAACTTTTGAATATTTTATTGTTCAGCAGCAACAAGACTGACGGAGTGTGTTTGAGGGAAGCTCACAAATGTCAGGGAGGAAATATTTGATGTTTATTTGCTGGTTTGTCGGTAGCAGCTCCTGAAAAGCAAGTCTACCACACATCTGTTCGAGCAACTGTTGCCAACCAAGTTGATTTTGCCTCTGACAAAGACGACTCCTCAGCCAGGCCTCATTTCAAAGCCCTGTAGCGCCACCCTGAGGCCCCAGTGCTACCTGTACACGGGCCGTTGAGGCCAGCAGGAGGCGCTCCAGTTGAACTTGTTTTCCCATCAGTCACTGCATGGACGCACACTTCAGCTGCATTTATGAATCATTTGAACCCTCCTTTATTTATTTTGTGCATCTCGATGATGTTTTGTTCTGCTGGGCTGTTCTTTTGGTCCGGCTCTCAGACTAAAGGTCAGCTGTCACATCACATCACATGTTTTTTTTACAGGCTACTGACAAAAAAACAAACACTTTTAACCACATCCTCGCTGAAAACACAGAAATGCAGAACTTCAGCAAAACAGGAAGTTTCAGGGTTTTACTCAGAACCAGAAAAACTTTATTTTGAGACGTGAGGCAGAGCCTTCAGTTCTCAGGCCCCTCTTCTGTGGAACCAGTTTGGATCCAGGAGACAGACACTATCTCTACTTTCAAGATCAGGCTTCAAACTTTCCTCTTTGCTAAAGCATTTAGTTAGGGCTGGACCAGGTGACCCTGAATCCTCCCTTAGTTATGCTGCAATAGACGTAGGCTGCCGGGGATTCCCATGATGCACTGGGTGTTTCTTCTTCACTCTCTTAAAGTCTATTTTAGTTTCATGATCTGTAATGAAATGATCTAAATCATTTATAAAACAAACTGACCTCTACACCTGATCTTAAAACCTATTTTGTCACATCTAAGTTGTAATTGGAACATGAGATGAAAATGCAAAGTTTTCTTTTCTTCACTGTTACTTGTGTTGTTGCAGGATGGGGTTAAAATCATATTTTCCTGGGTATGAGCTCCTGATCCCTCAGCTCCCAGTATGAAGTGGTTTAGTGGTGTTCTTCTCACAGGCATCTGTGTCACCTTCCCTGGAGCTGCTGGTTTAATCTTTTAAACTTGTAGGTCCTGAAACAATCTTTGCTTTCCAGTAAAATTCCTTTTGTGTCTCGTTTGTCCTGAAAAGTTTATCTGGCTGTGTTTCCTACTGACGTTGGAACTGTGACAGTTTCAGTATGGCTGTTGAGGACAGCGTGCATACTAGGGCTGCCACGACTAGTCACGATTAGTCGACTAGTCACGATTAGTCGACTAGTCACGATTAGTCGACTATCAAAATGGTCGACGACTGATTTAATAGTCGACGCGTCGTTTGAAGCTTTGTAAGATCCTGAAAGACGCAGGAATAAGTAGCAGGATGTAAGAGTGTAATAACGGACTGAAACAGAAGATGGCAGCACTGCATGTACAAGGATGCCAGCTGCCGTTAAACCCCGTAGAAGAAGAAGAAGAAGTAGCTGTGTCCGGTATCATAGCTTTTTTTTATCGGAGCATTTTTTTCTTTTTTTGCCGATGCCCGTGATGCCGCCCCGGGCAAACCGCCCGTGTCGCCCGTATCTAAAACCGCTGCTGTTTCTGTGTTCTGTTGCTTCCTGTGTACTCCACTCTGTCATACTGTAGATTTGATTCATCGTTTACAGGTGAAGCTGTCATTAAAATCATTGAATGAGATCAATGAATCAGTGATCAGGATCCAGTGGATGGATACGATTCAGCCTGTGGTTGTGATGTAAATAAAAGTGACGTGAATAAATCTGTGATCTCTGATCAGTTTGTTTAAGGATCACATTTTCATACAGAGGGATTTATTTTGGCTTCACAGACGCTGAAGCTTCAAACATGTCAGCAGGCTGGTGGTTATTATGGGATGGCATCCTCTCCTGCTGGGTGAGCAGAGTCTGTTCATTTTCATTACAGTCCAGGGTCATGGTGTGGGCGGAGCCTATCACAGGTCTCATAGGGTGAGAGATGGGTACACCTGTACAGGTTTCGATCCATCACAGAGCTCTGTGTGCCTGAGTCAGACATTTGAACTTTATACAGCTTTAGGTTGTGTTTTAGTTTCAGCTGCTGAAAAAGAATCTTAGCTTATCTTGTGTTATGTTGAAGGAAAACTGAATCTCTCTCCGTAGACTCTAACACCTCAGAGTGATCTATCAGTGAGTCTGCAGATATGAACAAAAGCAGACTCAGAGCCTACCATATCGCCTCTTATCATCGCTTTAATGACGTTTCCATCTGCTATCTCACCTGCTGACACGTCTGAACCTTCACCGACACCCACAGCTGGACTCTGAACATCTGGCTGCCTAAAAAGAAGAAAACCATCCACACAAAGATTAGGAGCTGGAAAGTGATCGGGGTGAGTTTACTGCTCTGTGTGTAGCTGTTCAGTGTTGAATGTTCACGGATGAACCTCCTCAGGAGGAGAGTGAAGGAGTCGTCCTGCATCAGTATCTGTTCAGTTAGGCCCATATATATATGGACACTGACAAGTTTTGTGTTGTGACCTGTTTACTGAGTCATATTCCAGTTATAGTTATATAATAGACGTGGATATGATGGTTAGACTCTCAGCTTTCGATCGAGGGTAACCACGTTCAGACTGGGTGAAGGGTTTAGGAGTTTCAGCTCCTTAACGTGTGCAACCCTCTTCTTAAGTGGGCCAAAAGTAATTGGACAGTTGACTCAAAGGCTATTTCATGGACAGGTGTGGGGAATTTCTTCATTACATCCTTATCTGTGGCCAAGTCAGTCACCTGACCTTCACCCAACTGAGCATTTCAGTTGTTCGAGACTAAACTTTGGTCAAAAAGACCCACAAACACACAGGAGCTGAAAGCTGCTGCAGTAAAGGCCTGAGAGAGAGAAGGAAACCAGCATCTGGTGATGTCTGTGAGTTTAAGACCGTCAGCAAACCCAGCAAAGGGTTTCAACAGCGTATTAGAAATGAACACTTCATTATCACTTATTGAATCTGTGTGGGAATGAAGGGATTGTGTTAAACATACTTTAGTTCCTCACATTTTAATCCAATCTTTTTGTCCAACCCACTGAGTTAAAGCTGAAGCTCTGCATCTGAGCTGTTTCGTTTAAAATGTATTGTGTTGATGCACAGAACCAAAAACAGTTGTCTGTGTCCAAATATTTATGGACCTGACTATATTTAATCTGTATCAGGACCTTTATCCGTATCTGTATGTGTGCCTGTACCTTTATCAGCATCAGTATTTGTACATGTATCAGTATCAGGGCTGAAAGGGTTAGGGCAAGTAATCAGGCTTTCTCTGGAGTGGGTGGAGGTGACGGTGCTGTGAGTCTGCATCGCCTCTCTGAACAGAAATCTGACCTTCCACATGCTGTTCTGGTCATTAGAAGAAAAATATATTTTTAGTAAATGAAAGCTGACGTTTCAATAAAATGAAGTGAGAGAGCGGCCGATTGTCCTTTGGTGGAAGAGAAAAGCTGTGGCCTGTGTTTCTGAACGAAGCCCAGAGGTCTGTCCATGACAGGAACGCTTGTCTGAGGCTCTCTGATGATGAAGAGCACCGCTCTGCTTCATGTTCACGTCTGACTGAAGCTCGTTCAGAGCAGCAGCTCTCAGGTCAACCTCGCAGCCTTTTTCTCTCGCCGTCTGTCTGTGTCTGAAGTCTGGAGCCGTTTCAGACTTTCATGCTGATGTTTGGCTCGAACAAGCAGGAGATTTCTGAGGTTTTCTCATGAATCAGTCTCTGCTGGTTTGTGGAAAAACCATCAACATCAAACATCAAAGCAAGGCAGCAACATGAGTCCAGCTCAGAGAAGACTCAGTGAAAACAGCGACACCTACTGGACACTTACTGTGGCCACATGTGATAATGCCGTTGCTGTTCTACTCTTCTCTCTCATTTTTAGTTCATGGACAACAAACCAGCTTATAGAACAAAACATATTAAGAAGGCTGCTGTGTTTATGGTGCTCACCACACGGGTCTCACAGATAAGACCTGAGACATCTTTCATCTGTGCTGGACTGAAGTGTGAGTGAATGCAGATCGATATGCTGATGGGAAATAAAGATGAATGAATGAAATGCAAAAACCTCCCTATGTGTAAAGATTTTTAATTTAAAACATTTTATGTAAAATATATTTTTATATGGTTATATAATTATTCTTTATAAACGGCCTCCCCAGCCTTGGGGAATCGTTCATCACATGTGTGTATACGTGGTATTTGTTTGCCAGCATACAGCGCTTCACTACTGCTAAAGTTAGTGACTTTACAGGATGCAGAGCCTGGTCCTGACCGCAGGAGGCAGCAGTGTGCCGCAGAGCCCGTGAGGCTCCCGGAAATGAAGCCGCAGACGAGGGGCTGTGCCGTAAATGGAAAGTGAAAAACGTTGTTGCGCGGCTCTGTTTCATGGGGGTGATTGATATCAGGTGAGTTTTCAGACAGCTGGGAGGCTCGCAGGCAGGTGCGACTAACGCGCTGCTTCAGATGTTACTTGAAGGAATAAAGCGGAAACGAGGCGGGTTACGAGCAGTTAGCGTTAGCCTCCGTTAGCTCCCGTTTGCTCGGTGGAACAAATGCTCGGTGAGCTGTGACCGTCACAGGACAGGTGTACGGTTATTAATCCAGCAGGGAGCGAAGAACAGACAGGTGTTGACAACCCTGACGGTGTGGGAATCCGCACACCTGCAGGAGGCTGACGGAGCAGCTACGCCTGTGCTGCGGTGGAGCTAACAGTTAGCCCCGACCAGCTAGCAAACACTTTGCCCTGCGGATACACCTGCGCTTTAAATATGTACATGAGAACAAGTGAACCAGCCGGAACAAAACAGACCTCAATAACTGTGAAAGAAATAAAAAGCTGAACTACAGTGTAAAGTTATAAAATACCAATTAAATTCTAAAAGACCACAAAAGAAGCTCCTTTAAATGTAAAAGATCTCAGACTGAAAAAGAATAATAAGTCAAAATAAAGTAATTATATCACGAAATGGCTTGTTAAAAAATAAAGAAACAGTAAAATAATCAGGTTCCTGCAGGAAACTGGTGAGCAGGTGTTAGCAGGTCAGCATCTGCAGCTTCAGTCCATCACTGAAGCATCTCAGTGTTGGAGCCGGGACAGGTGACACTCCTAAAATTGGGCCTCTCTTTTTACCCACTAAGTCACCATGGTAACGGATGCTCAACACCTTACCTGGTCATAACCTGCACCTGGTCAGGAGGAGGTAATGTTCAGAGTTTCCTCCGATTCGTGAAGCTTTTTCCTGAGAGCAGTGAAAGAACCCCGGCTGTGAATCTCAGACTGAACTTGTGATCATCTGATCACGTGCTGTTGGAGGAAATGTCTAAATGTTGTTCTGTGTGATTCTGACCTGCTGCTGAGTAGGGCTGCACGATTTTTTGCTTAGAATTGAGATCACGATTCTCTTTTCCAGTATAAATATTTATTGCACTTATTAACTGCACATCAACTTCGTAACAGTTGAAACTGAACATAAAAACAACAAATGTCTCACGTTTTGTTGTTGCTGCAAAATGTTGTACTGCTTGAAATTCCGTCTCCACCGTTGCTCGACGCTGCGTGTACAGAGCAGGTAGTGCAACAATAGAAAAATAGTTGCGGGACGGCACTGTGCAGCGTTTGTCTAGGGTGTTGATCATTTTCCTAAATCCCTCGTTTTGCACAGTGTTGATGGAGCCATATCTTTGGTCAGGTGATAAGTGATAGCCTCCGTAATTTCTTTGAGTTCGACGGGTATAGGGAAGCGCTGTATAAGGTTCCCGTTATTGATGTTTGGGTGGTTGACCGGGACGGATTTTCTCCTGTCACTTTCTCGTCATCCCTGACGTGCTCTCCGTTGTTTTTTCCTGCTAATTTTAGCATCACAGCTTCTGTATCACGTGGTATAAGGCTCCGCCCTTGTCATTTGTTGAGCAGGAAGAGTGAGCGCTTGTTTTCATGCAGATTACGTCCCGGATCAAAATGCGGTACAATCGTCTTTAAATCGTTGTCATTTGGAAATGAGATCGCACATAAGTATGAATCGAGATCGCGATTTTCTAACGATTAATCGTGCAGCCCTACTGCTGAGTCTGTAAGCTGATGCGTGACAGTGAGCTAAACCCAGGTAGAAACATGGATCTGTTTCTCCCGTCTGTTTATTTTTCAAAACGTTCTTCTGCGATTAAAATGGAAAAAAAAACCTTCTGAATGACGATGTGTCCTCATATTTCTGACAGTTTGTAGCAGATGTGGTGAAAATCAATGTCCGTTGGTTCTGGTTGAATCTTCAGGTCCAGACGTCCTTCACCCGCTGCAGGACGCTGTTAACGGCCTGTGTTTGTTTTAAAGGCATCTTTCACAGAGTGTGAGCAGCTGCTGAGGGGGCGGCAGACTCGCCTGTCAGGACAACTGAAGAAGAAGAAGGCGGAGGAGGAGGATGGCCGGCTTTTTGGATAACTTCCGCTGGCCCGAGTGTGAATGCATCGACTGGGGCGAGAGGAGGAATGCCGTGGCCTCCATCGTGGCCGGAGTTCTGGTTAGTGTGAGGCAGAGAGGGGCGGAGTCTGTTTGAAATCTCCGATAAGATAAATGTTCGCCGCTGGGAGGTTGGTGAATGGTGGAGGTCTTATTGGAGCTGTAAATATTCCGCTTCACGCGATCTGTTTCCCGTTTGTCCCAGAACAATGCCATAATCTGTGTTTACCTCAAACATGACTGTTAATAATCCAGAAGTTTGCTGTGATAGTCTGATGTAAAAACCAGTCCAGCTAAGACACATCTGATCAATCAAAGCCTCATTCACACAAACACTTTTTGCTTTGCTTTCTATCCAACATTCACACACATTCATCCATCGGAGAGCAGTGAGGTTTAGTATCTTTCCAAGGATATTTGGTATGCAGACTGGAGCAGCCAGATGAGCTGAGCTGCAGCCACCCCATGATCTGTAAACACTCAGACATTAGTGACAGCACGGATGTCTGCTAAGGATGGACAGGAAGTAAAACCTTTAGAAACGTCACGTCTCGCTGTGCACGTTCTCTTCTTTTAGTTCTTCACCGGCTGGTGGATCATGATCGACGCCGCTGTGGCGTATCCAACCCAGGAGCAGATGAACCACGCCTTCCACACCTGTGGCGTCTTTTCCACCATCGCTTTCTTCATGTAAGTGTGAAACGTTGCTTTCATACCGTACATGCTTTCAGAGTTGTTAGACCATTGAGGCGCGGGCGGGTGGGGGAGAGTTATCCACATGAAAACACATGTAAGATTTGCTTGGGTTTGTTCATGTGCCTCACAGCCTCTTTACAAGCAGCTGCTTTATATGGTTTCCTCCTGCAGTGAAATGTAATTTCAGCTTAAACATCTCAGCGAGGCTTTGAAAGGACAAATTGTGACCTCTGATGATGCCTCATTACTTAGAACTCTTCTTTCACCAAAGAGGAACCAAAACCTTTCACGATGTGACAGGAGAGCAGCCAAACTGCAGAATCATTCAGTCTGTTGTTATTCTGACCTCGATGCTGTTAATGAGCTGAGCTGGTGTCAGACAGGTTTGACCTCAGACTCCGAGGAAGTTACAGACCTGCCAGATTTCACGGTGTGCTTGGAAACTGGTGCTGCAGTCAAATGTGAATCAACAAAGGTCAAAAACAAAGCAGAGACTCTGAAACATCATGTGATCACTTCCTGTTTATGTCTGCAGTGTGAGCAGCATGAAGCGCTCAGACTCCTCTATGTGACTCTGTGTTCATTCTCAGGATTAATGCAGTTTCCAACGGCCAGGTGAGGGGGGACACGTACGGAGAAGGCTGCATGGGCCGGACAGGTGAGTGTTTGTCACCTGTCAGGGATCTGCTGTGGCGCTCAGAGGTGTGAGAAACACACACGTGAGGCAGATGTTAAGAGTAAAGTGCAGAGCCTCAGCTGTCTGTGTGGCTGTAAAGAGACTAATATGTGGTGTAGCTCAGTGGGTGCACAGACCACATGCCGGCGTGGGTTAGGGTTACCCTAACCCTAACCCTGTCTCTCTTCGCTGTATCTAGCCAATAAAAGCTAAATGATATTTTAAAAAAACGTATATCTGACGGCGGTGTGAATCCTGCCCTTTGCACAGCCGTCAGGATGGACAAACACAGCAGACACAGCACTGCTCATATGTAATTGTACTGCATGTGTCTGCGATTGCAGGAGCTCGTCTCTGGCTCTTCATCGGCTTCATGATGATGTTCGGCTCGCTCATCGGCTCCATCTGGATCCTGTTTGGAGGCTACGTAGTGCCGAGTGAGTTTCTCCCCTCAGTCTGTCCTTGCTGGTCAAACATGCAAACCTGGAAATGATCAGAAGGCTGGAGGGAAAACCAGAAGTTATACCTTTAAGTTAATAACAGCTCAGCCTGGACAAAGTCAGAGAGTATGTTATGGTTTGGAGCGCGAAGTCACTGCTGGCCTTTATCAGCTGTTTCATGGTGTTTTCTTCTGCTCTGAATCACATGACCGTTTTGGAAACTTGGAGCTTTTTCCTGTGGTTTGGTCTCGTTTCACACAGAAAAAATCCACACGAACCGAAAGCAAACCTCAGTGAATCACTACAAACCACACAAGGTTCAAACTGCTCATTGTTCTCGTGACTGAGCGCAGGTAGCACTCAGGGACAGCCCTCGGTTCATTTCACCTCCAGCGGGTGCAGTTTGTGGCCTCTCACACGTGACCACAGCAGGGTGTTGAGGTTGCAGCGTAGACCTGGTAGTTGGTCGGATTTGATCCTGAACGATGGATCAGGGAGTCTTATTTTAAATTCAGCTTTGCTCCTGCAGCAGGTTCATGCGCTGCAGTCTTCACCCTGCTGCGCTTGCTGTGTGAGCAGCAGAAGAAAAGCCTTGTGGTTATTACACTGTGGAGTCTAAAAATACAACAAATGATTTTAATCTGACTTCCTTAGACTGCGCAGGGAGTCGGCTCTCTCTGAGCATGCTCAGTCACAGTGAAACCTGATGTGACTGATAACATGTCGCTGTGTTCCCGCAGAGAAAGAAGTGGCTCCGGGGATGGCTGTGTTCTTTCAGAACGCCTTCATCTTTTTAGGTGAGTGAAAAGCAGCAGCGCTGACACTGAAGCAGCTGAAACGGCGCACAGGCCTGTTGTAATTAACCAGCTTGGTGCCAAATATGTGCTTCCTGCAGCGTTGCGACACATTACATGAAACCTGTTGCATCTTATTTCCCGTAATGGGCGGGAGCTCCTGCCAGGAAAGCCTGGCTCAGTTTAACCCATTCAGGCCCCTTTCTGTTCCACTAACTGATGCAGAAAGAAGAACTAAAGGCGGGTGGATGGATACGAGCGTGAAAAGAAGCTTTAACATCCACACAGACTGTAAATACCAGATTTCTCAGGGAGGGGTTTCCAGCTCTGAATGAGTGTTTGTTTCTAACCTGCTGCAGATTAATGATTGATTCACACCCTGTCGTGGTTGGAGTTTGTCTCAGTCCATCAGGACCATCATGTTTCACCTCCACCTGCCTTGTGCTCATGTTAGTTTAACCACAGCTGTGTAGCTTGTCACTACCCGATCCGTACCGGAACACGATCGGTACCCCGCATGCGCAAATCTTACGTCACTTCCTCTCTTTGCCAACATTGCGACATAGTTGAATGATACGGTTAGCGCCCAGTTAGCTCCTAGCATTTCTCAACAGCTCTTCCTCCTTTTCAACTACCGGGACATTTAAACAATGGATAATCCGTTTACAAACAAATTCATGCTTTTCTCCTCAACAGAGAGCGTCCCCCGATTGAGCAACAGCGCCGTAAAATAAGAAGAATGGCGCCTAATTTTGCTACTTGTATTACTTTTGCTGTAACAAAACAAATTTCCCATCTGTGGGACTAATAAAGGTCATCTTATCTTATCTTAATTACAGAGTTAATAATACAGACTTTATAATGTGTCACGCGAAGATTCATCAGCCACATGAAGTGTTTACTGACAACTGACAGTGATGGCGAACATCATCATCACTATTCCAATCAATCCTCTTCACAGACGAGCATAAACACGCTCGACTATCACTACATCAGATTGAGGCCACGGTTGTAATGACGCTAATTCAGTTTACAATACGGTTCATTCGCTCGGTCAGCAGGTGGCGGTATCCTCGTACACTGGGGAGTAAACTGCCATTAAATGAACAGAAGAAGAAGAAGAAAACATCTGCACATGCGCAGTACGGATCGGGAGCCCTGATCCGTAACTCTGTTTATTTTTGTCTACATTATATTGACATGTTTCATTATTGGAAACATTTTAACAGATGCTTGTTATTCTTAACATCTTAACAGATACTCTGACCTGTAACTATCGTAAAACGCTTCGACCGGAAGTAGACACCTTTGGCGCATGCGGGGTACCGATCGGGTTTCCGGTAGTGACACAGCTATTACATGACAGAGAGCTTCATTAGCCTCCAAACATCACAGCACTGTGGAGCTGAGCTGTGAGTTTGGATCTGTCTGCTCAGTGTGTGACATCACTGTGACATCACTGTCTTCTCTCTCTGCAGCACTCTGATCTACAAGTTTGGCCGCACTGAAGATTTATGGGGTTAAGACGTCTCTACAGACACACACACACACGCACGCACGTTTGTATTTATATCCTTGTGGGGACATCTCATTGACATAATGCTTTCCCAGCCGCTTACCCAAACCATCAAAAATGAACGCCTGACCCTAAACCAAATCATAACCTAGTTGAGTCTCAAAAATGCCTTCAAACTGGGGCCCGGTATTTTAGTCCCCATGAGGGCTGCTTGTCCCCACAAGTATAGTATACTACCAAATGTTGGTCCCCATTAAGATGTTAATACCCGTGCACACACACACACACGGCCTTCAGATGTTTTGTATTCTGCTGTTTTAATCGAAGCTGTAAAAACAGTTTTAGTATTGTTGCTTTTTAAATGGAGACCAATCAGTGCTGCTGCGCGCACACACACGCACGCGCACACACGCGCACACACGCACGCACACGCACGCACACGCACGCACACACACACGTGTAAATATAGTTCTGTTATGTTTCACTTCTCTGTGTCAGTCTCAGTGTGTTTTGTAAAATGAGGGAATTCCTGCTGGCGGGCAGGACCGCCGGTCTTACTGTTAAAGTGTCACTCTGGGAGATTTCAGCCTCACTTCCTGTTGATTAAATGCTAATGGTCACATGTTAGCCGTAAACAGCGGAGCGATGTGTAGCCGCCACAGGACGGATGCTAACCTGTTAGCCACAGGTGACACACACACACGTTTCACCTCGTCCATCAGGTCACGCTCACTCTGGACCGTTTTAGATAAAAAAATTTTTACCTCAGACTGTACCTGATTGGTTTCCAGATTGTACTTCCTGTGACTCCTCCAAATTAAAAGTCTGTGATTGTTACATGTATTTTAATGAAAATCTTCCAGGCTGACACTTCAAGGGGCGGGGCTAATTTATAGCTGGAAGCACATTTGCTGTCTCGTCTCCGTCTGACACTGGATTATAAAAGGACGTTTTTTGTTCCTGAACTTCCTGTTTGTGACTACGATGTGTGTTGATGATTTTTCAGTATTAAAGTTAAAAATCTCGGCTGCTTCAGTCGTTCCTGAAACAATAAAAAGTGTTGTGGGCGTGGCTGTGAGCTGCTGCTTTGTTTGTTACTGTAACCTTTAACTTGCTGTTTACTGGAAGCAATGACTCAGCCTCACCAGTGACTCAGACATTTTATTAAGGTGAACTCCGCTTATTCAGAAGGACGGGGAGTTGACCTCTGCAGGGAGGAGGGGCTTCCTGTGTCCCCGCCCCCCCCCAAAAAATTACATGAAAATTTCCCGTAGACAAACATTTACCCAACAGTGTTCATGTTACAGGCGCATGCGACACTTCCTATTTCACTGAAACAGGAAGTGTTGGCCACAACTGTCCTCTTACCGCAGCCAGTCAGATCCAGCAGTGAGCGTGTTATTCCCACCTGCCCAGGAACGCTCTCACCGACAGTTATTAATAAAGGAACTAACTCTCAGAGTTAAACAGGACTGTAGGAAGTTTGAGAAAGAGCACGCAGACGTGTTTGCAGTTCCTGTTTTCTACTATTTCCTGTCATCGGAGGTTTGAAGCAGCGGCAGCGTGGAGAACATTCAGGGAGGCGTGGCCATTCAGAAACGATACTTGGTTAATGCTAGAGTGACCCGCTTCTCTGCTGCGATGGTTGTTAGCGCGCAGTGGTTAAAATTAGTGTCAGGAAGCTGCTCGCTGCGCTCCATCCTGGTTTTACTCCACCCACTGTCCTCATGGGAGTAGTTCACAAATGTTCTGAGATCAGGTGCTCACAGGTAAATAATCCAGATGGTGCACGGTTAGATGACCTGGAGCAGGTGAGCGACTCAGTTGCCTCTGCTGGTAAACTGAGTGGAGTCTCTGTGAGTGGGCGGAGCCTCTCCAAGAGTTCAGGAAGCAGCGGCGGGAGGGCTGAGTGCTGATCTGGGCTCGTAGTTACCGTGAGAGATCTGGAGGTCGTCATAGCGCTCTACGATGGGAGTAAATGGTCGGACTTCAAATTCCCCACGAAACAGATTCTGAAGGAGGAGAAGACACAGGAACCTCAGAGGCAGTGAAGACTAACGATGGGCGATTGGCTGAGCCTTTCACCGATTGTTTTTACAACAGTCATTTATCTGCCCATGAGTACGTCTGCTAATAATGTTGGTCGAAGCTCAGAGAAGCGGTTTTAACCCTTCCAGCTGCGAACAAATGCAGCGATTCGTTTACTCAAACACATAACAGAACAAAAGAACGGCAGCAGCCTGCTTAAAAACAAACAAATTATTCAAATAAAAAACACAATAGTGGGAACACAGGACGGCCTTTTCCCCACTCTAACCGTGTCTGTCTCACACACTCGACCAAACAAGTACAAAATTAAACCCATCTAACTTTGGCTCTAACTTTGCTGGACTGACGGCTCTGTTAACACCATTGGACAGTTCAGCGACTCACCAGTCACCATGAAGAACCACGTCGGTCTTACACACTGATCGTGAAGCGAACACTTTCAAAATCAGCTCTTTTACTCGCTGACACGCTCTGAGTAGATACAGCGCCCACCAGTGTCTGTGTGGTGAGTGTGTGCAGCAGTGTTGGTCTTACCGGCGGGATTTCATATTTATGTGGCTCCAGGCAGCGTTTGATTTTCTCAGTTTGGAAAACCCGAGGTATCCCAATGTAAGAATGATGATGGCGAGGACCACGATGCCGACGAGCAGCCCCACGATCATCGGCGTCCTGTTCACGTGTTCTGAGAAAACAGACGCAGTGAGTTTACTGCTGCAGCTTTAAAACCTTCAGCTGATTCAAAAGCAGCGGAGTCGTTTACATCTGTGTCTCTGGTTGGAGTCGGAGCGCGTTAAAGGAACGTTACACCAAGAAGAGCAGCTTACCTGATGCAGGGATGACCTCACACTGGATGCAGCTGCGTGGTTCCACGAGGTCCCCGTGGACCGTATAGGCCACCTGAACACAGTACCGCTGCCCCTCCTCCAGGTCTTCAATGGTCCTGGAGTCTATGGTGTCTTCATACTTCTGATGAAGACAATGACACACACACACACACACACACACACACACACACACACACACACACACACACACACACACACACAGTGTGAGTGAATTAAACTGAAGTGTTTGCTTCTGCTCGTCTTCTCCTGTATCCAGCTGAATTATCAGACTGTCAGAGCTCCACGGAAAGTAACCCAGCTGTGCAGCTTAACATTGATAAGAGCAGATGTTTATCCCTCCATGGACCCATGACCACATGCTGCTTCAGGGCTTCACTGCAGCTGCTGCCCGTTTGTGGCTCTCTGGCTTCCCTGAGCCTGGTTCTGCCAGAGTTTCTTCCTGTTAAAAGGGAGTTTTTCCTTCCCACTGTCGCCAAAGTGCTTGCTCATAGGGGGTCATATGACTGTTGGGTTTTTCTCTGTATCTATGAAGCGCCTTGAGGCGACTTTTGTTGTGATTTGGCGCTATATAAATAAAATTGAATTGAAAATTGAATTGAGTTTAGTCCTAAAAATGAAGGCGCAGGATTCATCTGGACACGAAACTGCTTCTCAGTCACTTTGAGCTTCTGAAAATGGGAACTGTGTAAAAATAGCTGTAATTCTGAAACAGTTTGTGCAGACTGTCTGTTGGTGCAGAGGCAAACTGTCCAAATATGCTTGGACCTGCCTGCACACACTGACAGACACATGTGGCTGTATCAGCAAGCACACTGGCATGAATAATAATAATTTAAAAAAAACTGCTCAAAGGAATTAAAAGAACACTAAAAACTACAGAGCCCAGCAAGGGACATTCTTCAATGCACATATTAAACAAATATGTAAGACTGCGTTCTTCCATTTGTGCAACATCTCTAAAGTTAGAAATATCCTGTCTCAGAGTGACGCTGAAAAACTAGTTCATGCACTAATGTGCTGCCAGAAGTCATTTTGTAGCTCTGGCAGGACTCATCCTGCTCCTCTTTACACAAAGGAGCAGATACCACCCAACATCAGGTGAGCATAAACACCTGGAGGAATCACTCCGTGGTCTCACCTGCAGAGGACTCTCTCCCTCTCTGCCAAAGTAAATCCTGTGCTTGGCATTGTTGGCGTGTTCCTTCGCCAGCTCGTGGTCATCGTTAAGGAATACGGTGAGTGATCCAGGCCGGGTCAAAATGCTTAACGGAGGCGTGCAGACGTCACCTGGAAGAGCAGAGCGAGCGTCAGCACAGCAGCAGCTCGTGGTTCACACTGTGGTCAGGATGGTTAACACCTCGAGTCTCACAGCTTCACCCACAGACAGCGCTGACACATATCTGAGGGTTCTCACCGTATCTGCTGCAGGCGTTAACACCCTCAGATCTCAGCCCCCGTCTCTCGGCCCGCACACGCAGCGTCACGCAGCTGTTCTCGGGTGAGTCGTTAGTGTCGCGCGGCCCAATCGCTGATATGTTGCAGGAATGGAAAGGCGTCTGGATGCAGGCTGGAAGAGCTTCCCATTTATCAGAGTTAAATCTGAGGATGAGGAACAGAAACGAGTCAGAGAAAACTTCTGCTCAGCGTTCTCTCTGCTGTGAAACCCAATCACTCGTTGCTTTGAAGCAGGAGCTTTGCTGACCTCTGACCTCTTCCTAAACATTTTACCAGCCCACTGTGGATTAGAATCTGTGACAGTGACACTACACTCAGCCTGCTGCTCTCTGATGGCGGCTTTCATGTGAAACTGTGAGAACGATGGAGTAAATAAAATGTCATCAGCTGACCTCTCGCCACCAACGGCCGTGACGATATAAAAGGAAGCTCCACCTTAAAACAGAGCACCTTCCCCGGCTGTGAGGCTCACCTGCGGTAATTCACAGTGTAGGTAACGTCCGGCTCCCCTGGAGTCCACGTCAGCTGACCCTTCTCCACCTGGACGTTCTGTGGAGGCGGCGGCGCCTGAGACGCAACTGCAAAGGTGAAGAAAGCAAACCAGAGAAATCCCTGCATAATCCAGATTATTGTTATTCATGTGATCACGGCCTCAGATGATTTATTAAAGAGACAGCAGGAACCATCGACGCCACGACGCCTGAGCTCAGAGGGACAAAGATTCAAAAACGAGGAATAACATC